ATGTAAGGTGATTCTGACATGCGACGCCGAGCCAGCTCGCGTCCACTGCTCCGTGCGGTTCCGGCAGGTGACCGCGCCACTCTGCTGTCCTCGGCCACTCGGGTGGCTTCGTGGATTTCCTGTTAATAAGAGTGCTGTTAGGGCTCTTGGCCATATTTCCTTTGGCACGTGTAAGAAGTTTCTCTGGGGTGTGTTCTCCGAGAGCGGGCACGGGGGCGAGGCCGTCCACCCCGCTGCCATGCATGCGTGGCCTCTCTGAGCCTCAGTTTCTCCACCTCTAAAACCAATGACAGAATTCCCGCTGCACCTGCGTGCCGGGCTGAGAGGGAGTGAAAAGGTGAAGCTGAGCATGCCTTCTCACTTTGATGAAGGTCCGGAGCCCGGAAAGGGACGTGTGCAAGCTGCAGAGCCCGAGCAGGGGACAAGCGGGGGCAGCTGTCCCATCAACGTGGGGATCCCTGTGGACATCCACCCTCTGTTCGCTTGAGGGTCTGCGTGATGCCTGGATCACCCAGCCCAGGCCTGGCAGAGAGGAGGGGTCCCGCGGAAGAGCTGGGAGAGGGGGAATTGTCCCCCTCCGAGCAGCCCGTCCCTTGCTGCGGGCTCCTCCTGGCCCCTTACCATCCTGAATGTCAGCGTACAGACACCAATCCGAGCTGTGGACCTCAAGCTGGTGGAGAGAGGCCCCCGGCTGTTCGCGGTTCTCGTACTTTGCCCCTGGGGAGAGGGCTGTGGGGCCATCGCAGACAGCAAGCACCCCGAGCCCTCTGGTTTCTAATTGTGTACCCAGCTTGGCTGTGATTTAGTAAGCTTGGTTGCTTTCTTCCCCCAGGCAAAATTCAGTTAATCCTCAAGCTAACAGACGGCAGATTAGAAACAACCAGATGAGAGCTATTGGGGCAGACGGAGTGACAGAGACCAATAAACTGGAATGAGCAGCAAGGGGGGCAGAAATGCCGACAGGGTGGGCCTGCCCTTGAAGCATGTTGCTGCCCCGGGGTGGGGGGTTCAAGTCAACCTCTCCCCCCCCACACTCTGCCCCACCATGTGCTACCTAAGAAAGGGGTACTTGATGCATTTTAGTAAACGGCCTGCCCACAATGGGTACGACAAACCCAGGAGATTGGAGAAGTTAAGCATCCGTTATCGGGAAGAGTCTCATACGTGAAGCTTAATTCCCCGAGACTCCAGGGTAATGGAAACATTGATCTAATAGCGTCAGCGACAACCTGACTGTGATGGCGGGGGGCCTTCACCGTTTTTATCTGTGACACCATGGGATCCTCCTGGCAGGCCAGGAGTCCCATCTGAGGGATGTGGAAACAGGCCCAGAGAGGTGGAGTGACGTTCCAAACATCACATAGCATTAGGGGTAGAATCAAGATTGCCTTGCAGTCTGCTGAGCCAGGGACCCCCGTGTCACAGGCCCTGGGGACCCCCTTCCTCCCCGCTGCAGGCAGGCATTCAGGGAGGTACACTGGGGGGACCCACACTCCACATGGAGCCCCAACAGTGACTCTCCAAATGGAGAACATTCTGAAATGTTTGCCAACACCGGTCGGTGTTTTTTTTGTTTTGTTTTGTTTTGTTTTAAGATTTTATTTATTTATTTGAGAGAGAGAGAATGAGAGACAGCGAGCATGAGAAGGAGGAGGGTCAGAGGGAGAAGCAGACTCCCTGCCGAGCAGGGAGCCCGATGCGGGACTTGACCCAGGGACTCCAGGATCATGACCTGAGCCGAAGGCAGTCGCTTAACCAACTGAGCCACCCAGGCGCCCCCGGGTCAGTGTTCTTATAGCCAGCCTGGGTTCAGGGGAGCTCAGACCGGTCCCCCCGAATAGGTTTGGTGACTCAGGCTTCAGAACAGTAAAACCGGCCCCAGGGCCATGCCAGGCACTGGGTTCTCAACGGCAGCCCCACCTGGTCTCCCCTGTCGTGGTAGTGACTTTCCAAACGAGGAAATCCAGTGGTTCGGAGAATTGTTCAAGGTCACGAGCTAATAACAGGATTTGAACCCCAGCTGTCAGATAGCCAAGTAAACACTCTTAACTCCCGGCTGCCCTTCAGACTGGGTTTATGGCCGAAGCCCTACACGGCCCACAGTGACTGTGCTCTCTGCCCCACCCCGTGTTCTCGGAGGGAGTTTCCTGGTCTTTGTTTTGCCCACAAGCAGACCAGACCCAGAGGGAAAAGCTCCCCGGGGCCTGTCCTGCCCCAGCCCAGGCTAGCAGGACAGCTGCTCCCACCGAAGCCCCAGGCCAGCAGGGAGCCTGGCTCTCCCCCTCAGGGCTAGAGCAGGGACACGGGACGGGGGGCTGGGGGGGTCTCCACCTGTGGTTCGACTTTGCCCATGCACCTCAAGGAGCTGCCTCCCATTTCCTGTGAGCCCCCAGACGGGGCAGGGGCTCTCTCCCCTCCAGCCCACACCAGAATCTACCCTCGCCTGTTTCACTCAAAAATGTACCATTAATGGGGCACCTGGGTGGCTCAGTCGTTAAGTGTCTGCCTTTGGCTCGGGTCATGAGCCCAGGGTCCTGGGATCGAGCCCCGCATCGGGCTCCCTGCTCCGCGGGAAGCCTGCTTCTCCCTCTCCCACTCCCCCTGCTTGTGTTCCCTCTCTCACTGTGTCTCTCTCTCTGACAAATAAATAAAATCTTAAAAAAAAAAGTACCTTTAAGAAAAAATGGAACTCCCTTCCTCCAAATTAAATAAAAACAAAAAAATTAAGACTTTTTAAAAATTAAAAAAGTAATCAGTAAAAACGAAGAGGGGAGAGGAGCCAAGAGGCACCCTTTCTGAGGCCTGGCGCTGTGCACATAGGAGGTGCTTAATACCCAGCAGCAGCACCTCCTCTGGGAAGCCCTCCCTGATTCCCAGCTGGGTTAGGTTCCCCCCACGTGCCCTGCACTGATAGTTATCAAGGCCGGTGGGTCACCAAGCGTCCCTCACCATCCCTTGCCCTGGACCCGGGCTGTGTTTCTGTCCTCTGCTAAATGCCCAGGGGCAGCACCACATCCAGATGGGATGGTCTTCGTGAAATCTTGGGCCCAGACAAATGTCGTGTCAAGACAGTGAGCAAGAGCACCGAGAGGGGACATCCCACGACGCCCGCACGGCAGGGCTAGCAGGAGCCCAGGTGCGTGGCTTCAGGTTCTCTGCCCTTCTGGGGCCTGGTGTGGCCTCTGCCAGGGCGAGGGCCGTGTGAGGCTCAGGCCTGCGCGGTGTGCACCCCTCACCCACACAGCCGCCGGAGCCTCCAGGCCAAGGCAGGGGAGAGGAGACACGACACGGCCGTGTCCCCAGCCACAGCAGCCGCCACTTACAGGGCCCGTCCTTGAGGGGCCGTGCACTGCCTTTCAACCCAGCCGGCTTTGTGGGGTCCGGCTGTGTCGGCCCCGCCCCGGGCCCCAAGGAGACAGGGATTCCGGACTGTGAGCTGATAGGACAAGAGATTTAGAGGAAACAACCTGAGGATCAACCCTTCCTTCTACAGACGGGGAAACAGAGATCTCGGGGAACCCGGGGCTCTTGGTCAGACAGATGGACTGTTCCTGGCACTTGGCAGCTGTGTGGTCTTGGGGAAGTTGCTTGACCTCTCTGAGCCTCTGGTGTCCTTGGCTGTGGTGAGGGGTGGCCGTGCTCGTGCCCAGGAGAGCTGCCGGCATCACCGATGGGAATCCAGGCCATACTGCCCTGTCCTGTGGGTGCCGCCATGTCTGTGCGGAATCCTGGCACCAGAGGAATGCCTGGTGGCCAAGGGGGAGATGGACAGCGTCTGCCACCTCCCCACAGGCTCTGGGTGGCCCTTGGGACCAGGGCTCTGTCAGGTTGCCCACTCAGGACCTGGAGAAGGGTCAGGCTGACTCTTGGCCACGGTGGGGTCCTGAAGACCATCCGGAAGGGCTGTGTTTTTGGGGGTTGTGGGAAGAAGGAGGCCTCTAAGGGGGGCTCAGTTCAGTGTCTTGGTCCGACTGATGGGGCCATTACTTCCCCCGAGAGGGAGGACCCTGGGATGCAGGGTGTCAGGAGCACCTGGGTGGCTGGATGGTCATGGTTGAAGAGACATATGCAGAAACTCTGAGATGTGGCAGATCTCGTTCCAGAGTCGGGAGCGTGGGCATGACCGGGACCACACAAGGCACGGCGGGCCTGCAGCAGGGGCAGCAGGCGGACTGGGAAGGGAGGTTCCTCCCTGGCGGGGCTGCAGAGTTCCTGCATTGGCCTCCGAACTTGAACTGAGTTCTGTGAGATTTTCCAGATTAAAACAGGAGTTGTTTTTCTCCACAAACCCATTCTGTCTGTTCTGCCCCACATCTCCCAGGCCCTGGCTCCCCGCCTGCTTCCACTCCACTCCCACCCCTGTCTGCCGGAGGCCCGGCCAGCTCAGGGCACCCTTCTTGGAACTCCAGCTCCCTCCCCAGCCCAGGGCACGAGCCCATCAGGCCCCTCTGCCCCCAGGACCCCTGCATCCCATCCACACCCTCCACGTTCCCGGCCCGGCCCAGGCCCTGTCTCACGGCTCACCTGGCCCACTGCCACTTTAGACCGAAGACGGGTGAGGGGAGCCCAGGGTCCAACAGCAGGTGTCCACGGAGGTCTGCCCTGGGCCCTGGGTGGGGAGAGTGTGCAGCCCCCATGCTCCCGCAGCGTTCCTGTCTCCCCGGTCACGAGCCTCGGGCTCAGGATCATCCAGGCAGCCGGGGTGAGTTTCTGGCAGCCAGTGACCTTGGCACCACCCCGTGCTTCTGCCACATCCAACAGACCGGCCTGGGCCAGTTCTTCCCACCCCACCCCATCCATCAGAAGCCCCTGCCTGCCTTCTGAGAGCACGCTCGAACAGCTGATATAGGAAGGGGGGACGGATGGATTGATGAACAGACAACCACGGCCAGGAACAAAGCTGCCTGATATTAACGCGGTGGGCAGGGGATGCCACATGGGAGTCCGTCCAGGGGCCGGCCCGTGCCCACCTTCACGGCCGCCTTGTCTTCCTCTCGTAGATGAAGATGACGCCAACAGACTAGGGGAGAAGGTGATCCTCCGCGAGCAGGTGAAGGAGCTCTTCAATGAGAAATACGGTCAGTGCATGAGGAGTAGGGTCTGTGGGGCAGGGTCTGTGGGGCCAGCCTTCCTGGGCAGCCCCTCCCTCTACAGCCAGCCTTGGCCGCCTCCAGTTCCACCCCCAGCTGCCCTGCCGGTGACTGGTGGGAGCTGACCCCTCATTTCCCCGTCCGAACACTGGGAAAGAACCCATCTGGGGCGCCCAGGGCAGAGATTGCAGGTCAGCATTTCCGCTGCTCTAGGGCTGGGCCTTGCGGCAGAGGCCATGCATGGCCCACGGCCAAGTGCTTGTTTGTGCATCTGCCCAACTCACACTTAGCCGTGAGGACTCTGGGGGAGGGCGTCCGATCCCTGCCATCCTGGGGCTCGGAATCTGTGCAGGGAGGTGGTCAGGGAATAGGTAAGGGCCATGCGATGCTAGGTGAAGGCACCCAGGGTGCCAGGGCAGAGCCCAGTTGGGACAATTAATAATATGGTTACTGGGCGCCTGGCTGGCTCAGTGGGTGGAGCGTGCGACTCTTGATCTCAGGGTCACAGGTTCGAGCCCCACCTTGGGTGTAGAGATTACTTAAAAATAAATTCTTTTTTTTTGTTTTGTTTTGTTTAAAGATTTTATTTATTTATTTAACAGAGAGAGACATGAGAGAGGGAATACAAGCAGTGGGAGTGGGAGAGGGAGAAGCAGGCTTCCCGTGGAGCAGGGAGCCCGATGCAGGGCTCGATCCCAGGGCCCTGGGATCATGACCTGAGCCGAAGGCAGCCGCTTAACGACTGAGCCACCCAGGCGCCCAAAAATAAATTCTCAAAAATAAAATAAAATCTTAATAATAATAATAACATGGTTACAGTCGAGCTTTCTAGATCATTGAGTGCCAAGCTACGCTAGATGCTCTGTATACATTACGTTTTATTTGATGAATTTAGTATTATTTCCATTTTGCATTGTAGCAGGGAGACGGACGTAATAAAAAATATTTTTAAATAGAATTTCAGAGAGTGATAACGGAGAAGACAAAACAGTAGCAGGATAAGGGGTTGCCTGGGGGGTGGGGCAGGAATGCCCCTGGGAGGATGGGACGTGCGTTAGCCAAGACTAGAGACTCAAATGTCAGGAGGGGACACACATTCCAGGAAGAGCTTGCCGGGCAGCAGGGACAGCTGGGTGACTGGGGACCAGCAAGGAGGCCAGAGGGCCTGGGGTAAGCAGCCGGGGGAGGCCCCCAGTGCACAGGGAGGGGCGGGCAGGCCTAACGAGGAGTTGGGGTTTCGTTCTGAGAGGGAGAAGCGACTCTGCTGGTGTTTGGTGGGGTCGGCTCTTTCACTTGTCATTGTGAAATCAAAATTCAGACACGGACGAAAATGGGTATTGGTGACCTGCCACGTCACCCAAAGCCAGCCCCTGGGATCACCAACATTTTGCCAACCTGACTTCTTCAGTGTCCATGTACACACTTCGGAATTTTTTAAAACACACCCAAGGCACCCTATCCTGTCATCCATAAATAACTTAAGTAAGGACTTTGTAGTTTTCCTACCATAATAGTAGATCTTAAGCAGATATCACATCTCTTGTTTATCAGTTCTGGGTACGCACACTTAACATGGCACCAGGCACGCGCCAAAGTGCCTGTTTTATTGCCAGCACTGGGTATTAGGTTTATAGTTTTGCTAAGTGGATTTAAAGAAAAAAAGAAGGTGTGTGTATTGATTTTTAAACTCTGTAGTACGGTGGCCGCCAAGCTGGACCATGCCAGGATCCAGCCCTTTCCCCGGGGGGCGTGGCCTCTCACAGGGGACCTCTTCCCCTCGCGCTGACCCACCGTGTCTTGTAGGCGAGGCCCTGGGCCTGAACAGGCCTGTGCTGGTCCCGTACAAACTGATCCGGGACAGCCCAGACGCCGTCGAGGTCACGGGCCTGCCTGACGACATCCCTTTCCGGAACCCCAACACGTACGACATCCACCGGCTGGAGAAGATCCTGAAGGCCCGAGAGCACGTGCGCATGGTCATCATCAACCAGCTCCAGTGAGTGCCCCCAGCACCCAGCGCGGGGTGGGCACAATGGGCCGGGGCCATGGGAGAGGGGACTGCTTGCATCCGGTGGGGAAATTCCCAAAGCAGTCCCAGCCAGGAGACGAGAGAGACGGAGACAGATGGACAGACAGACAGACTGGTGCCTCTTGCTTGCCCAGATTCCAAGAGACAGATAGCTTAACACTCTCATCTTCATGGTGGGTCAGCTGGGACACAAACCCAGCTCTCTCACTCCATCCGGGTCACTGTAACACAATACTACAGATCAGGAGGCTTATAAACAACACACATGGACTTCTCACAGTTCCGGAAACTGGGAAGTCCAAGATCAAGGTGGTGGCAGATTCAGGGTCTGGTGAGGACCCACTTCCTAGGTGACCATCTTCTTGGGGCGCCTGGGTCACTCAGTCTGTTAAGCGTCTCTGCCTTCAGCTCAGGTCATGATCCCAGGGTCCTGGGATCGAGCCCCGCATTGGGCTCCTAGCTCAGCGGGAAGCCTGCTTCTTTCTGTCACTCTCCCTTTGTGTTCTCTCTCGCTCGCTCAAATAAATAAATAAATAAATAAAAATCTTTAAAAAAAAGAAAAGATTGTATGTATGGTGACAGATGTTAACTAGACTTAACATGGTCATCATTTCACAATATATACAAATATGGAATCGTTATGTTGAACACCTGAAACTAACACGGCATTATTATATCAATTATGTGTCAGTTATATGTCCTTTATGTCATATGTCAATTATACCTCCATAAAGGGGCGCCTGGGTGGCTCAGTCCGTTAAGCGTCTGCCTTCGGCTCAGGTTGAGATCCCAGGGTTCTGGGATCGAGCCCCGCATCGGGCTCCCAGCTCAGCGGGGTGTCTGCTTCTCCCTCTCCCTCTGCACCTCCCCTCTGCTTGTGCTGTCTCCCTCTCTCCCTCTCAAATAAATAAATGAATAAAATCTTTAAAAGAAATTATACCTCGATAAAAAGAAAATACACACAGCAAACTTGGGAAACACGAAAAGGTAGAAAAAAAGAAGGTAACCATGTAACTGTCCTCTTCAGGCCTAATACCATGATGCACTAACTTTTTCCCCTATGCACATTTTCTTTTCAATTTTACACTTGATGTTTTAAATTTTTTTAAGATTTTATTTATTTATTTGAGAGAAAGAGAGAGCGGGGTAGGGGAGCAGAGCAAGAGGGAGAAAGAGTCTCAAGAAGACTGTGCTGGGCATGGAGCCCGATGCAGTAACCCTAAACCAAGAATTGGCCGCTTTAGAATTAAAATATTTGTATATATCCAAAAAAAAAAAATGAAATGATTCAGACGGGTTTCAAATAAAAAGCATTTTCCCTCCCACCTACCGTCCACCCCCTGAAGCAACTACTAGACAGTGCAAGAAACCACGGCAAAAAAATGCTCACCCCCCCCATAGGCGTACCTCCCAGAAAGAACCGCCAAAGACATTCTAGAACTTTCCTTCCCCATTTCCACGTTTCTTTTAATGCCTATTAGATTTTTATTTGTGGCAAATGAAACTGAGATCATACAGTATTTATCTGTAGACAGTAAATAAAACTTGCTGTTTCTTTTTTTTTTTTTTTAATATTTTGTTTATTTGAGAGAGAGAATGAGATAGAGAGAGAGCATGAGAGGGGGAAGGGTCAGAGGGAGAAGCAGGCTCCCCGCTGAGCAGGGAGCCCGATGCGGGACTCGATCCCGGGACTCCGGGATCATGACCTGAGCCGAAGGCAGTCGCTTAACCAACTGAGCCACCCAGGTGCCCAAACTTGCTGTTTCTTGTCTGGCTGTCTTGTACACGCTCGAACATTATCTACGTCCCTGAGGATTCCCTTTAGTGACTGACCAGTCATCTGAATAGATAGACCATAATGTCCTTTTCTGATGGACATTTAGGCTGCATCTCATTTGGGAGGGGGGGTTCATACAAAGAATGCTAAAAGTAAAACAATAAAATAAAAATTAACGCATACATAAAAAAATAATAGTGTGATGAATATCCACTTCTGTAAATCTAGGCACACACTTTTTTTAAGTTTATTTACTTAAGTAATCTCTACACCGACTGTGGGGCTCGAACTCACGGCCCTGAGATCAAGAGCCACGTGCTCTACCAACTGAGCCAGCTGGGGATCCCTAGGCACACATTTCTGACCACTTGGTCAGGCGGCACCCTCGACTTCTAGACCAGGAAAGCGGGCCCCAAGGGGCGATTGGCCTGGCAGGGCACTGCCTGGTCTGGGGGGGATGCCCACCGTTTCCATCCGGGTCTTACCTCACACTCCAGCAGCGGTGGGAGCATCTCCTCTCGTGAGAGGTGTCGCCCATTTTCAGGGGGCAGGTGGGAAGGAAGAGGGGAAACCCCATTTTTCTAACTGCCACCTCCTTTCTTTTTCTTTTAGACCTTTTGCAGAGATCTGCAATGACGCCAAGGTGCCAGGTAAGGCGGAGGCTGGAAAAGCCACCTCTCTGCCTCTCAGGGACCAGGGTCTGTGGGTAGATCTGGTCCGGGTGGCTTGCGGTCGGTAGCTGACCACCCAGAGGGGGTATAGTGCTCCCTGCCCAGTGGGTCCACAGGGAGCCTGCAGGTGCCCGCCAGAGGGGGCGCGGCCACAGCACGGCTGAGTGTGTCACATCAACGGGAGATTAGGAGGGGCGGGCTGGAGCCAGGAGGAGGGGGCAGCCGGTGGGATCATGGAAGCCACCTGGGGGAGGAGAAGGATGCTGTGTGACCAGCAGGGGGAGGCAGGCCGCATGGCCGAGACTGGCTGGGGCCGGGGGGCGGGGGGGGGGACCCCACCCTTCTGCCTGCATTTGCAAGGCACACACCTGCACCAGACACTGTCCCTTAGAACCCTTGAGTGCACAGGAAGCTGGGAGACCATCTGGTGCCATGGTTCTGCCTGAGAAGATGCACCGTAGAAACGGCGGAAGGTTCCTCAGAGTGATTGGGAGGCGCACCGCTGATTAAAATACACAGATCTAGTCCCAACCACACTGTGCAGCTGGGAAGCTGAGGCCCAGAGAGGGAAAGGGGCTTGGCAGGGCCACGTGGGAGGTTGGTGGCCACCTCAAGCCATCCATCCGAACTGCAGGCCCAGCAAGTGCTTAGTGGGCACCGTGATGGGCCCCCATCCTGGCCTGAGACCTGAGGCCCCAACTCCAGCTGGGTCCAGGTCCCCCTGGAACGGCACGGCCTAGGGTGGCACAGCCCAGCCAGGAGCCACCTCCCTCTGTCCTGTGCTGATCACGGGGGCCAGGTGAGGCACCAGATTCGCGGGTAGGGAGGTGACAGGTTTGGGAGCTGTTCCCAGGTTGAAGGCAGAGATGCAGAAGGCCCTGCCGAGGCGTGGGGAGGAGAGTTTAGGACAGATGCTCAGAGGGCGGACGCCATGACTTGCATCCACCACTCCCTCCCACCATGGCCATCTTTAGGGTCTTCCAGTGACCCCGGGTTGGCTGTGACCTTGGGCCAGCACCTCTGCCTTCCTGTTCATGTGGGGCCCCCTACAAAAATCCCTTTTCTCTGGCTGAGCTCCTTCCGCCCCCAGAATCTTCTGTTTCCCAGGATGTCTGTTTATGCCGTAGTCACAGACCCCCCAGCCTCTGATTTTTCTTCATCAGCTGGACAAACAGCCACCTCATGGGCTCAGCCAGCCCTCATGCCATGTGATTGTCACCCAGTCTGGTTTCTACTCAGTGACCTGGCCCACTCAGTCAAGCACCAAACCCTACTTGTGTGGTGCACGGTTGCAGATCTTTTTTCTAAGTCTCATATATTCCTATCAATTTAATTCTGCAGCAACAGAACCCCGGCTGAGTCCTGCAATGTGCTGGGCTGGGTGCTGGGCTCTTTCATACACAGTAACCTCCTTTGAGTCTCACATCACATGGTTTTCCCCATTTGGCTCAGAGAGGTTAATTGATTTGCCCGGGGTCACACAGCAAGGGTTGGCAGTAATGGGAATTGGAATCTGGGACTTCTGACTATAAACCTGAGTCTCTTTCCCCGGGGACACTGCGTGCTGTGAACTGTCATCTGTCAGCATTCTCAGGTTGGGGTCATCACACATCCACAGTTAACAGTAGCGACAATATGGATACCAGCTCTCAGTTGCTGAGTATTTCTGGGGGCCCAGGCATATTACCCACGGGAGCCTGGGTCCCCCTCAACATTTCACTCGCAAGGAAATGAAGGCACAAGTCCGAGTGACTTGAAGTGACTTTCTCCAGGGCCCGAGGCCGAGCCCCTCACTGCAGAATGCCGGGCCCTGGGAGTTCTGGGGAGGCCGGCCCCCACAGGCTGGATGGTCTGGGGATGGCATAAGGAGGACATGGGCCTGAACTGAGCCTGCTCGGGGGGCACACCTGGGGGGTGAGGCTCATGTTAGCAAAGGCAGGGAGGAGAGCCACGGGGCTGTGGGGCCTGGTTAAGGACAGAGGTTGGAGGGCTGGGCCTCGGCCGCTGGCGGGGGAGAGGGGGTTGGTCTGGGGGGGTCTGGAGCCTTGAATGCCGAGAAGGGGGCTTGAAACCTGAAAACAAAAGCCTTCTCCCGAGGGGTTCGAAGCCGAGACCCAGCAGCAACCTCTTCTCCCGCAGCCAAAGACAGCGGCATTCCCAAGCGCAAGAGAAAGCGGGTCTCCGAAGGGAACTCCTTCTCCTCCTCCTCCTCGTCTTCCTCCTCCTCATCCTCTAACCCGGAGTCCGTGGCGTCCACCAACCAGATCTCACTCGTGGTAAAGTTGCACAGATCCGGACCTGACCGCTCGGCTCTTTGGCCTTCACCCCGCACGCGGGCAGGGCTGTCTGCTCTGGGGCGCGGGTTTGGGGTGCAGGGAGGCACTGGGCCCTGAGTGGGGCTCCGCAGCCTCAGGGCTGCAGACACGTCTGCCCGATCTCCTCAAGAGATAGTCCAGCCCTGTCATCGGCTGCTCACAAGCCCCCGGGCCAGGAAGTCACACCTCTGCTGGGCAGGTGGGCAAGCGGGAGCCCGGGAGAGGGTAGGGGGCTCCCCTGGGCAGTGCCAGAACAGGACCCTGAGCAGACAGACTCTCGGTTCCTGGGCTGTCAGAGGCTAGGTTAATCTCTGCACTCACCTCACGAGCTCCGGGCCCCACCACAGCCCTGTGAGGTGTAGGTGTTACCCGCAGGGTGTGGAGGAGGGAAGTAGGGGTCAGCGGCTAGTTGGTGGTGGCCTCACTGCGGTCAGCCATGGATGGAGGACCCACCTGCAGCCTCCTCCCGTCCCGCCGTGTGGTTGGCCTGGGTTCTCTCCCATCCAAGAGGAAGACCCCATGAGGGGCACACACGCATGACAGTTCTTTCTGACTTCAAAATACTAGCTTGAAATCCTGAGTCCTGTGGGGAGAATATTGGAGTACCTTTGAAAATGATTTGGGGATTTATCGTTTGACCGTGCCCCCCTTTAACCGCTTCCTGGAAAAAAAACCCAAAGTTCAGGCCGTACCTTTCTCCCCACCTAGGAGTGTGTACACAGGGTCCCTAGCTCTTCCCGCATCCAAGAGCCTTGCGGAAGTGTGGAAGGCCTTGTGGGCCAGGCAGAGGCGGCCTGGAGGGAGGGGGACAGACTTTCTGGGGCATAAGGCCCGGAGGGGGCTGAGTGTGTGGGGATGACCACCTGTTCTGAGCCACTCCTCAATTTTGTCTGGTCCGCATGAATAGCCCCTGGGACATAGGTGGGAACAGGTCAGAAGGCCTGAGCCCAGGCTCCATGGCCATCAGTGAACTGCGTGACCTTGGACAGGTCATGTTCCCCTCTCTGGACCTTCAGTGCCTCAAAATGAATCGCATCTGAGAAGGCCCTTCAGAAAGCATTGCTCAGTGGTCTGGCGGTCTTTCCGTGTCACCCGGAGTCCTAACCCAGACCGTTTGTCCCCCTCTCTCTAGCAATGGCCAATGTACATGGTGGACTATGCCGGCCTGAACGTGCAGCTCCCGGGACCTCTGAATTACTAGACCTCAGTGCTGAATCAGGACCTCACTCAGAAAGACTAAAGGAAATGTAATTTATGTACAAAGTGTATATTCGGATATGTATCGATGCCTTTTAGTTTTTCCAATGATTTTTACACTATATTCCTGCCACCAAGGCCTTTTTAAATAAGTAAAAAAAAAAAAAAAAAAAAAAAAGCCTGGCCCTTGCTCATAACTTCTGCGTATTCTCATTTGGAATTACAACTACAGCTGTCACTGGGATGAGGTCAGGAAACCCGGCTCAGACGGCCTGCCAAGGTCCTCCTTCCTTGCCAGAGCAGAGGCCATGTCCCTGACTGCTGGGCCCTGCTGTCTGGTGACAGACTCCTCTCATTTCTCTGCCGCTGGGGCCGCGTGGCCTCCCAATGAGGTGGCACGGAAGGCCAGGTGGCAGACTGACCCCCTGGCCTCAGGGAGCGCACAGGGTGGAAGGGGGCTGTCTTGGTGAATTAGCAGGGGACGTCTCAAGCGTTAAGTATGATCATCAAGCCTGGACTCTCCGTGGCTGGAGAGAAGGCACCCTGGCCGAGGGGCTCTGGATTGGGCCCGGAGGGGTGGGGCGGATTTTTGATAGAGCTCAAGGGCATCTGAACAGAGTGATGGGTCACAGCTGTGTTTCAGCAAGGCCACTTTGGTGGCAGGTGAGAAGATGAAGGAAGGGGTAAGACTGAAGGCAGAAGGACAGGTCAAGAGGGCCCGACAGTGAGCAGCGGCCCCGTTCACTGGAGGCAGGGTGCCGTGGGAGCACAAGGCAGCACCGAATCTAGAACCATCTCTGAAGCGGAGACTTGAAGAGCACAGCTGGGGTTGGCAGGGCAAAGCGGGACGGGGAGGACAGGACCGTGATCTAGGAGAGTCACTTGTGCCAAGGCTGGGAGGCTGCCCGAGACCGGGCGTTCCAGGAACAGGGAGTGGCTGGAGGTGAGATGAGCGCTCGGTGAGGATGCTCAGCGGGCTGGGCAGAGCCCAGCTGAAGGGGTGAGTGGGGCAGAAATGCAGCCTGGGTTCTCTGGGCCGAGGGCTGAGCCGTGCACCCTGGGGCCGGCCCGCATCCCTTTTTTTACCGGCCTTGTGGAAGTGTGTAAGGCCTGGGGGGTACGGGGGCACCACCGGATCTGCATTATAGAAGGGCCTGCCTCCCGAAGAAGAAGCTGCTAGACCACAGGGAGGCTCCTGTAATTGTTCCAGAAGAGCTGGCCCGGGGCCCAGCCAGGTGGAGAATAACAAGGAGGTCAGCCAACAGGACTTGGAAGCCAAATGGACGGGAGCGCTGGGGCAAGGAGGGGTCACGGTGACCACAGGGTCTAGCCAAGGGCCAGAAGCAGGCCCAGGACTCGGAGGCGCTCGGAGTCCTGACTCAGCTAATTACACGATCAAAACAGGCCGGGAGCTTCTGCCAACCGGTGGGATCAGCCCGGTGCCCAGAGCCGGGAGGGAAGGCCCCAGGCCAGCCTTCCGGACTCCGCTTCCTCCTGGAACGATGCCAGAAGCCACAAGGCTGGCACACAGCGCCCCAACTGCTCCCTTCTGCTGCCACCACCTCCCTCCCCCATCCCAGGGGCCCCGGGCCCCACCAGGACCCTCCACCCCACCTGCAGACCCCTGCCCCTTTCCAGGATCGGAGCTGGGGCGCCCCCGCCATTCATCACCGCCCTTGAGGCAGAAACTCTGAGATCGAAGACAATCTGGCAGCTACCACTGGCCTTCAGCCCCCGCTCCTGGAGGCCAAGCTCCCCTGATCTAATCCCGGCTCCCCCGGATGAGACGCCTCGGGTGCTTTTCCTGCCCCCCAGCACTGAGTGCAAACGTCTCCGGCCCGGCGCTCCGGGCTCCTCCCCTCCGTCCCCTCCCCTGCCCCTCACCCCACCGCCCGTCCCCTTCCTTCTCCACCGCGTCCCCGGGCCCGGCCCCCCGCAGCCCCCGCAGCCCCCAGCAGCCCGCTCCGGGGCCGCTGGCGCCCCTCGATTGCCCAGAGACGAGCCGCCGCCCCCGCCCAGACCCGCGGCCGCGGCCGCGGCCGGAAGTGGCTCCTGCCCCGCGGGCGTCTGCGCGGGAGGCGGGGCGCCCGGGGAGGGCCCGGGAAGCCTCCGCCGTCTGTCTGTCTGCCTGCGCTCGCGCTGTGCCGACGCGTGCAATGAGGCCGGTGGTGCAGCAAAGCCTCGCGCCTTGGGGCCCCACCCCATTGCACGAAAGCAGAAGGGGGACACTCCCCCCCACCCCCGCCCCCCAAGGCAAAGCCCTTGAACCCAGAGGTGGCCTGTGTCCGTTCCAGCCCGTCTCGAGAGCTCTGCGCTCTGGACGGTGTGTCCGGGCCGAGGGCAGAGGCCGCGTTTGGGGGCCGCTGGGCCGCCCGCCCCCCTTCGCTTTGCCCGCGGTGCTCGCCCAGCCCGGATCCGCTGGGGATGCCTTCCTCTTTCCCGCAGGCAGGCCTTCTTCCTGCAGAAGAGCCCAGATGCTGTTTATGCAACCTCTCCAGAATTTCAGTGTACTGTACTTTTTAAAGTGATTTGATTCAAAGCACTCATTCTTTAATTAAAGTTCATTTAGCTGCCATCTGTCTGGGTTCAAAATGGCTTCGTGTTTTGCAACTCTAAATGAGGATTGTTACTGGATTTGTAAACACATCCACCAAAAAAAAAAAAAAAACCAACAACAAAAAAAAACACAAAACATTTTCAAAAGTAATAAATGAGGAATGTGCTGAAGGAGTGTTAGGAGCTGCATCTTAAACATTCTAATTGCTGGGGAATGTATTCTGGTGAGTACATAATCATTTTATATACAAATCTTTGTACAAAAAGCTGGTATCAGTGAAAAGATCAAGATTGTAGAAAATGCCGGAATTATATCTGACTGAAAACAGTAATAAAGCAATAATCAGCTCAGGGACAAAGCTAGGGTGAGGCGGGAGGGGAGGCAAGGGAGGGGCAGCTCTCAGGCACCAGCTCCCCCGCAGCCATGCTCCATCCCTCACCACCCAGGTGCGTCCCTTCTGCTATAAAGAAGAGGGTGATCCTGAGCTCCGGTGGCAGGGTCCTCCTTTAAGGGGCCAAGACTTTATGGAGCACCTGGCTGGCTCAGTCCCTAGAGCATGTGACGCTTGACCTCAGGGTTGTGAGTTCAAGCCCCATGTTGGGCATAGAGATTACATAAATTTTTTTTTAAAGATTTATTTATTTAGGGGCACCTGGGTGGCTCAGTCTTTAAGTGTCTGCCTTCTGCTCTGGTCATGATCCCAGAGTCCTGGGATCGAGCCCCACATCGGGCTCCCTGCTCCACGGGAAGCCTGCTTCTCCCTCTCCCACTCCCCCTGCTTGTGTTCCCTCTCTCGCTGTGTCTCTCTCTGTCAAATAAATAAAATCTTAAAAGAGACAGCGCACGCCCGGGAGGGGCAGCAGGAGAGGGAGAGAGAATCTCAAGCAGACTCTGCGCTGAGCATGGAGCCTGCTGTGGGGCTTGACCTCACCAGCCTGAGATCATGACCAGAGCCGAAACCAAAGGTCAGGCCCTTAACCCACTGCACCACCCAGGCACCCCCAAAATAAAAATAAATTTTAAAAAATTATTAAGGGTTGTTTACTGAGCCCCATGATGCAGTCTCCTCCCGTCCACCTAGCCCAGTCAGAGAAGAGGAGAAAAGATGGAGAGAAAAAGTAGCCTTTTTTTTTTTCTTAATGCTTCATGTAGTGGCCCAATGAAAGGGGGATGGTCTTTGGAAAAATATTAATGATTTTTCAGTGGGGAAACTGAGGCACAAGGTCAGTGGAGGAGCAGGGCTGGAGGCTGGTGAGTCTCAGGGCAGGCGGCTCTCAGGATGCACCACTCTTGTCGGCAATGTCCTGGGTAATGTCTGAGGATACCAAGTGGGGATGTGGGAAGAAGAAGCTGGGGTGTGGATTAAAACAGGACCCAAAGACCCTAAGACTCTCTGCATGATCTGGCCTCTTCCCTGTGCCCCTCAGAGGTCAACCTCAGGGCTGTCTGCATATGGGGTTGGGGGTCCTTCTTCCATTTCCTCAAAACGACCTCCCTTCCTTCCCAACTCAGAGTGGTACCTCTTTCTTATTTTACCTTTCACTGAAATGTCCCCTCCTCAGAGAGGCCTTTCCAGAACACCCAGTCTAAAGCAGATGCCCCCCACCCCATAATTTTTTTTTTTTAAGATTTTATTTATTTGCGAGAGAGAGAATGAGAGACAGAGAGCATGAGAGGGAGGAGGGTCAGAGGGAGAAGCAGACTCCCTGCCGAGCAGGGAGCCCGATGCGGGACTTGATCCCGGGACTCCAGGATCATGACCTGAGCCAAAGGCAGTCGCTTAACCAACTGAGCCACCCAGGCGCCCGCCCACCCCATAATTTTTACGTTTCATCTCCTTTTTGTAGAATCACGTTACTACTGCCGTGTGTCCTAATTTATTCTCTGGGCACTCATTTTCCGGCTGTCTTCCCTGCTCTAAGCTTTATGATGGCAGAGATGGTGTCGAGCGGGCTCACCGTGGTGCCCGAGTACTTACCCCAGAGCCCGGGACGGGCGTTCTGCTCACTGGGAGCCGCCTGGATGCATGAATCAATGACACTCACTCACCCCTCCTGGGAGCAGAACCTGCATGATCCCTTAGCTCTCCGTCCTCCTTCCACGTGATTCCAGTTATCTTGCCCCCCAGCCTTGCCTCCACACCCAGAATCCCTTATGGGGGAACCGTGACAGGTGCCTCTGCCGGCTCCTTCACCATTAAAGCTTGCTTTGTTTATTTCTGGTCAAGTGTTTGGACTCCAGAAGCCCTAGATTTCACACCCGTGTCCCTGAAACAGCCCACCTGATGCAGGGGATAGGATTCGGGAGAAATGTCAGGGGCCAGAGAGCCAGAGGAAGCGGCGCCAAGGGGCCCCAAAAGCACTCTGCGTTGCTCACGCTTTTGCAGATTATGGTCCAAACGCTACTATGTATCAAATGTTTACAATGTCACAGCCATTAGGCAAGACTCTCTGTATACTGTGAATCCTCACAGCCCTGCCAAGTAAACAGCGTTCCTTCCTTCCACGGATGAAGCAGCTGAGGTTCAGAAAGATCAAGGGCTAGATCCGGGGTTACACAACCAGGAAAAACTAAGCACCAAGCCAGGATTCAAAGCAAAGATTCAAGGGGCGCCTGGCTGGCTCAGTCAGAGGAACCTGCAACTCTTGACCTCCAGATCGTGAGTTCGAGCCCCATGGTGGGCGTAGCGATTACTTAAATAAAGAAATAAATAAACTTGGGGAGGTGGGGGGAAAGTGCTTAAAAAAAAAAAAAGGGCAAAGATTCGAGCCACCAGGTCCACCCCAGGGTGGATCGTGTACCCAATTTCCCTTCCTGGACGGAATGGGAAAGCAGCGGGCACCTTCAGGCTGGG